AAATGAAAAGGGAGGAATCAGATTTGTTGTTGATGAATCCAAACCGAGTGATAAACTGAGCAAATCTATGGTACCACGTTCTTAGGGACTGTTTAAGACCATAAAGCGATTTCTGTAAAAGACAAACATGATTAGGAAGTGACGAGTTTCGAAAACCAGACGGGCTCCTGATGGTGACCGTAAAAAAACACATTCTTCACATCTAGCTGATGAATAGGCCAGTGATGGGAGACAACAAGACTGAGAACAATCCTAATAGTAGCTAGTTTAACAACCGGACTAAAGGTTTCATCACAGTCAATACACAGGCGTTGACTACGACTGTTTGCAACCAAACGTGCCTTGTATCGAGCTAAAGATCAATATGCATTAAGTTTCTTTTTGAACAACCAAATATAATTAACCACATTAGCATTAGAAGGTCGAGGTACAAGTACCCAAGTTCCGTTAGAAGTAAGTGCATCATATTCATCTTTCATGGCATTTAATCAGTTAGGGTCTTGAAAGGCTTGAGAGTAGTTGAGAGGAATAGGAAATGAGGAAATGGTGTCAGTGTAAATATTGAGATGATCAACGGGTTTATGTATTCCTTGTATGACACGAGTAACCATGGAATGGGTGCCTGTGGAATGAGAGGGTGGAGGCCGAGGGGAAACTGGGGTGGTAGGAGGAGGCTGAGATGAAGAAATAGGATGAGGAAGAGTGTTGGATGATATCGAGGAGGAGGAAGGCTCCAGTGTGGAACTAATGTCACCAAAAGAAGTGTTGGTGTTGGCGTTGACAAAAAGGTCGGGATGAAGAGTGTCAATGGTTGGAGAATAGTGATATGATGTGGTATGGTGAAAGGGTTTTGGAGGGGTGTTTGGGTCATTAAATAAGTTGTGAGAGTCAGGAACATAAGGGAAATCATATGATGGGGATTCATTCGGAGTCATAGACCCGAAAGGAAAATTTGTTTCATCGAAGGTGACATGTCGGGAGATAATAATTTGTCTGGTATGAAGGTTAAGACAACGGAAGCCTTTGTGTTTGGAGGGATAACCAAGAAAGATGCACGGAACAGAACGATGTTCAAGTTTATTGGTATTAGGTAGGTGTGGGTAGCATAGAAAACCAAACACACGGAGATGAGAATACATATGCTTAGTATGAAAGAGTTTTCGATAAGGGGTATCGTTGTGAAGGCTAGTAGATGGTAGGATGTTTAAAAGATGTGTGGCCATGTGGAGAGCTTCCACCCAATATGTAGGCGGAAGATGGGCTTGAAACAAGAGGGTACGTATCATATTCTGTAGAGTACGAAACATGCATTCTAATTTTCCATTTTTTTGTGAAGTGTAAGGGCATGAGAAACGCATGTGTATACCGTTACAGTCACATAGTTGATGAAATTGAGCATTGTTGTACTCTTTACCATTATCACATTGAAATGTTGTATGACATTGATTTTGAACATATGCACGAAAGTGAAGGAATTTAGAGAATACATCAGATTTTAATCTAAGAGGATAAACTCATACAAAATGAGAAAATTGATCAAGAAAAATAACATAATATTTTATTCCACTGTGACTTTGTAATGGTAAAGTCCACACATCAAAATGAACGACTTGAAATGGAAACGAAGCATGAGTTTTTGATAACTGAAATGACAAAAAAATATGCTTGCCAAGTTGACAAGCATGACAAACTAAAGGATAATTTTTTTTATTACATGAAATATAATTGCTAGAAATTAAATGTTTGAACACGGGTTGACCGGGGTGACCAAGTCGTTGGTGCCACAAAGAAGAGCTGATACTGAGAAGGGTTTGAGGAGTGGTGATGGACACCGGATAGAGATCACTCTTGCTATCACATCGAAGGAGGATGCATTTGGTGCGAAAATCCTTCACAGAAAAACCAAACTCGTCAAATTCAATAGAACATTTGTTATCACGAGTGAACTGGTGCACATAAATAAGATTTTTAATAATTTGTGGTGTAACAATAATATTTTTTAGGACAAGAGTACAAAAATGATTTAAATAAATATGAGATTGAGCAAGTTTAGTGACCGGAATACGAGATCCATCGCCGACTAACACCGATAAATTTGAATTGTTGCACATATTGCTAAAAGACTTGAGAGTACCTGAATCAGCATGAAGGTGCGCGGTTGCTCGGGTGTCCATGTACTAATCTGCATTGCCCGGATCTTGAAGGGTCATAGTATTGAACGATTGTTGTACGGTAGTCGGTTGATCCATATTATTCGAGTAATGAAACCAATTATTGGGTTGATTAGTGGGTTGTTGTGCAATGGATAAAAAAACATGTTGTTGGGCTGAAGCTGGATTCGAAGTGGGCCAATGCTGAGGGAAAGAAGAAGTTGAACTATTGGGCCATTGAGCCTGATGGGTCGGTGGTTGTGGCAGCAGCCCACGTTGTTGCTGTTGACTTTGCGTCGTCGACCAAGGGTAAGAGGCGCCCCCTCCCCAATTGTTTGGACCGTAACTAAAACCATCGGCCTCGCCTATATCTTGTCGTCTGCCACTTCTGCCACCATTCCGACCACCTCTGCTGTCACCTCGGTGATTTCGACCTCGCTGATTTTGGTGCTCTGTTGCGAGAACAATACGTGACGATGCATTATCTTGGTGTGAAGCGTGAAATTGGCAGTCTTTAAGCATGGATCGTTCTTCAAGTGAGTGCATTTCAAGGAAAGTGGGAAACGGCTTCTAGTGTCTGATGGTGGTGACGACGTGAGCAAATTTCTGAGATAAGCCATTGATGGCATAAATGACAAGGTTTCTTTCAGGTACCGGGGAGCCAATGTTAGTAAAAAGGTCGGAGATGGACTTGATGTGAGTACAATACTCCATAACTGAAGAATCTCCAATGGTGATGGTACGAAGTTCATCATCTAATTCCATAGCTTTTGTTTCTTTATTCTCATGAAATAAATCTTCAATGGTCTTACATACATCTGTTGTTGTGGCATTGGGTCTGAGGATAGACCGGATAATAGGTTGAATGAGAGTGCCATATAACCATTGTTTGACAATATTGTCAACTGTCTCCCATTGTGAATCATCTTCAATCTTAGAAGTGTCACCAAGATGTCCATAGACTTTGTATCCAATGCAGTGAGTTTTAATTAAAAAGTTCTTTCCATGAGTTTACATTAGCAATATTGATGTAACAACCACCAATAGGTCAAACAACTTATCTGTATCACATTGTCACAAAGATGAAAGATGACTAAACTAACGTTGATGCAATTCTTTATTTAGGGAACGTGGTGTTTAAACCAGGGAAAGAACATGATTCATCAGATGTGAAGGATGAAAAATGAAAAATCGAATTTTCATTGACAGACACCTGCCATGCTTTTGAAATGTGATTTGAAAATTTTACTGAAAACTTTGTGCACACGTTCTATTTAGATTCGTGAAGGGACTATAGTAAGTAAAGGTTGTTGATTGTGATGTTGTAAACTTGTAATTGCGAGCCGTGATACTTTAGCGAAGACCGTTTATGGTGGGTTTTTTGATTGGTTTGTTACAAGCTTTAATCTTTTTACTTTCTTCATTAATTTTCCTATATTTTTATGACATTATGTGGTTTATCTCTTTTTCATTTAACAAGTATCTTTCCTAAATTGTTTTTATTGAAAAAATGTAATTTATGTTAATAATAGTTTTTTGGAATCATATTTAATTTATAAATGGAATAGTAAAGCGTGTAAATGCATTTTTTTTAGATGACATACCTTAAAAAACAATTTTAAAAAAAAAAAAATACGTCCGGGTGTATCTCCTAGTTTTTATTAAAAATGGCTATTTAAAGCCACATGTATGTCAGTTCTAAGGTGTTGTCTTATTTGTCCACCTAAATATAATCATTCTATTCTAGGTGTGAAACTCATGTATTACATGAGTTATTTAAAAAAAAAAAAAAAATTTAACAATTTTAAAGGTTTGAATTTATAAGAAAAATGAGAAAAATTTTGAATTATTAAAATTAATGAGACTTTAATTTATTTAATACATTACATATATACACCATTTTTAATAAATACCTTATATATATTACCTTACATATTAAATGTGAAATATTAATTTAATAAAATGAAAAATACAATAAAATGACAAATGGAAAATAGAAAATTTAAAAATTTTAAAAAATATCATATATCCAAATAAATAAGAAAATGACATTTATCAAAAAAAAATTCATTTATTAGAGTACATAAGAATCAGTTTATTGGATGATGATACCCAATAGAGATATTAAATATCCAATAGGAAATCTAGAGTTACAATAACCAACAATAAGTAGCCTTAGACAAGAATTAGAAAGTGATTTTCTCACATATGTTGTTGATTTTGAACCAACGAGAACTCGGTAAAAAATGCGAAACAAATTTCTCAGATTCTACCATCGATTTTTAAGGGTGCGATACTTTGATTTGTTCATGTCTCAAGTGTTGAACTGGAGGAAAGGAATCATATGATACTTTTAGTCATTTTCGATAAACTCCAAAGTTAAACCATTTGACTTATTGGGTAACAACTAAAGATCATCGAATTTAGAATTTCAAATGTGATAGGATAAGATCGGCTTCCGTTCCAACTACCCCATATACGATCTTATATAAAAAACGATACTAATATTTTGAAATGTGGGATCTTATGATCCGATACAAAAACTTTTGAAATACTAATTAATGTTTTAGAATAAACTATCTTAAAAGGTTAAATGTAATAAACAAAAATGTAGTGTTAGTGTGTTACCATATCTCGTTCTATGAAACTTTTGTCATTGTTTTCTTAACTTATTCCAAGCGATTAATATATCCTTTTTTTTTACCATGATTCGTACATTTCTATGCATTTTGTTTTCCTTCACGTCTTTACGTGTTCGTCTCTACTCTCTATGCCAACAAGAAGCACATCATGTTTTCATAACAAACGATCTTTAAATCCTCTGCAAAAAACCCTAATCTGATCTCAAAGATGACAAGCCGCCGGGAAGAAGATCACACCCACGACCACTTCTTCAAACTCATTCTAATCGGCGACTCCCATGTCGGAAAATCCAACTTACTCTCCAGATTCTGCGACAACAAATTCACCCTCGAGTTCAACTCCACCATCGGAGTCGAATTCGCCACCAAAACCCTCCACATCGACGGAAAGCACATCATGGTTCAAATCTGGGACACTTCCGGCCACAAGAAAGTTCGAGCCATCACCGACGCCTACTACCGTGGCGCAACCGGTGCACTCCTGGTCTACGATGTTACTAAACACATCACATTTGTAAACATACAACGATGGTTAGCAGATTTGAGGAACCATGCAGATCCGAATATGGTTTTGACGTTGATCGGGAATAAATCCGATGTTAGACACTCGGTTACTGTTTTGACGGAGGTCGGAAAGTCATTTGCTGAGAAAGAATCTTTGTATTTTATTGAGACATCTGCTTTGAGAGATACGAATGTGGAGAAAGCGTTTACTGAAGTTGTTGATCGAATGTATCAGACTCAAATTTGTAGGACGAAAGCTATGGAAGTTCAAGAAACAACGTCGCTTTCTAGAAGTAAGAACCATTTTTGTCATAATTACTATTGCAACAATGGTTTGGAGTGTTCGTGAATAGAATGATTTGGGTTATTGCAGGTGTATCTATATCAAGTGGAAACAACGAACCCGCACACTACAAACTGAAGCTCGAGTCATTCTCTCTTTTGTTTGAAGCTGGAATAGTAAAGTATGAATCCGATGTTTTTGAAGCTAGCGGATACAAATGGTTAGTTTTTCTTTCTCATTGAATTATATGATTGTATATAAGTGGATGGACAATTTTATATGTTGATAATAGTAGTCCCTAGAGACTATATATAAATACAATGATTATATAATGAGATATTCGAGGATCAAAATTTTCAGGAAACTAGAACTATATCCAAAAGGAAACGAGGAAGAATACATAAAAGACCACATTTCTCTTTATCTTGTCATATGTGACACACAAAGTCTTGAAAGAGGGTGGGAGGTTTATGTGTACTTCAAAATCTTGATTTACGATCATATACGCCACAACTATCTAACCATTCAAGGTACAAGGTTTGTACTTTGAGACCAAACAATGGGGTTTTAGGGTTTATGTTGTTGTATATGGTTATAGGTGGGGATGGGAAACGTACGAGGTTCCATGAGAAGAAAACGAGATGGGGCTTCAGGAAACTCATGTCACTAGAGTCGTTTAAGGAGGCTGAAAACGGTTACCTTTTTGGGGATTCATGTGAGTTTGGAGCCGAGGTTTTTGTTGTCCCAAAATATGCGCAAAAAGATCAATGTTTGTCGATGATCAAGCCCCCAACAACTATGAATACACACATTTGGACAATTGCTAATTTTTCGGCTTTAAAAGATGAAGCGTTGTACTCTGAGGATTTCAAAGTTGGCCAAGTGAAATGGTACGTGCGTTTCTTTTGATAACTCGTTAGTTTTTGCTCTGATACATAATGTCATTGTTGATTTGAATATGTGTGAAACAGGAAATTGTCGTTGTATCCTAAAGGATCCAAAACAGGAAAAAACACAAATCTTTCAATCTTTCTAAGACCACATGATGTTGGATCTGGTTCTGGTTCTGGTTCTGGATCGGATGAGTGGAGAGTTTATGCAAAATTCAAGATTCGGGTAAAAACCCATGAATTCAGCGGTACCCATGAAAGTAAAGGTATAAGATCATACATAAACTCCTCTCATTTGAAGCTAAAACTTCATTTTTCGTCACTAAATCTTGTTGATGTTGCTATTTGTATATATGTATTCTTTTCTTGATGGAGTCTATACATTGCAGAAGCTGACCATTGGTTTTGCAAAACGTCGGATGGTTGGGGGTTCCCTTGTTTTATGCTGTTAAGCGATCTTCATGACTCCAAAAAGGGCTTCTTGTGGAACGACACTTTGGTTGTTGAAGCACAAATCTTAATTGTGGGTATCCTAAAAAATCTCGTCTAAATTAAGTTGTATACAATTATCTAGCAATTTGAGTTCCAGTCTCGTTTTTCGTTTCTAAGGATGTAATACAAATGGTAAATATTTCATTTGTTGAGTATGTTTTTTATTATTTTCGAACGTATTTATAATTTCATGAATATATGGACATTTATGTGGATTATACTCGTACATTTTTTGTTTGTAACATTGTTTTGAATGTCAAAATATAGAGGTTAGCACTTAGCAAAAACAAAACCTCAAACTAAAAAAAACTGCAAAAAAAGACCGGAAGAACAAAACTAAACGTACAACCAATGTTGCAATTTTAATTTTTCAAAAACCGTAATTTTCCGATGCAGTTGCGGTTTTATGCCGTCTAACTACACCAATATATATATATATATATATATATATATATATATATATATATATATATATATATATATATATATATATATATATATATAGGTTCCGGATCCTGTAGGAATCAAAAAATTGGTAGGAACCGCGAAGACTATTCTCTACCAATCAATTCGTCAATGACACAAACGTCAAATTCATTTACTTGGTTGTGATGTGTTCGCACACGATGCACGTCCATGAAACATAATAGGACCTCGAGTGAATAATCATGTGCGACGAACATCCATGGAACGTTATTTAAATGAGTTTTTCTTTTCTTTTTCGTTTATTTTGGTCCATGGAACATCGTTTAAATGGAACGTCGATGGAACGTATACGAACTCGGGCTAATACCTTGAAAGGATCAATATACTTGGGGCCCAACTTGTTCCACTTCCTGAATTGGATAACACATTTCCAAGATGACACCTTCAAGAGTATCGGTTAGCTTTTCCACCGAAATACTCTCCTGAATCAGAATGAAATACGCGTTAGTCAACCGATCAACGATGACTCATATTGAATCCACTCTGCACGTCATCCAGTGTAACTTTGTGATGAAATTCATCGTAATCTCTTCCCATTTCAAATAGGAACTCCCAACAACTCCACTTTCTTTTGAGATCGTTGACGTTCGGCCTTGACTTTCCTGCAAGTCAAACATCTCTCCACATACCATAATATGATCACTAAAACCAAATAACGTTCATTCCAAAATAAACTTCAATTATAGCTACATAAATAACTTTCTAATGTATTATGATTGTTGAATGTTGATCACTCGATTGCAACATTTTCTTCTTGTTTTTGAATCTTGATTGAAGCTCTTTTCTTCTTGCTCTTGAGTCTTAATTGTAGAATATTGATTTCAAATATTATAAAGTCGATTATATTGGGAGTCGATTGCAATTGGTCATTTGGATTAGGAACTGAACTGGGAAGTTGAAGTGGAACGTCTAACAATCTAACTCCTCGATTTCTCTACGTGAAGATTGATAAATGTATTATAGATTATAAATAATTAATTTATATTTCAAAATTTTAGATGGGACAAGTCATAAATGGATCAGATCGATAGTGATTCAAACCCGACACTTTTAATAAAATGATTAACGTGTACAGGTCCTTAACGGGTAAACGAATTATAAAATATGATTCAAACTCATTAAATTTGCACAGGTTTGAAACGGATCAGGATCAAAACTCCCTTCATTGTCAGGTTTAGTAAAAATCCATCCATCGGATTTAATCAACAAAGACATCATTATAAAGCGAAGTTTAGTAGGAACTAAGTTCGGACTCCACTAAATCATATTTCCCTACAAGTATTCTTTCTTTTTTTATTTATCTATCAAAAAATTAATCTTAAATTATGCTAACTCGATATAAACAACACATACATTACAAGTACTAATATTTTATGGTATTATAGTTATATTTTGAAATGCTTTTAAAACACCAATTCACATAACTATCAATCTTTGGTGAAAAATCAATGGAATATGCCTAGAGATTTTAAATTTTTTTTTATATATATCTAAATCATAATCAGTAGCCATTAGCCAAATACATGGAACCTTTGTCATTTTAATGGTACCTAACAATTCACAATACCATCTACCTTTCTTTTCTTCCCTCAAACAACCATTATCACCCCAAAATAGCCATATATTTTAGGAGGAAATATTGAAACCAAGTATTTCATTAATTCCAACATATTCAATTCTATAATTTTGCAACAAATCATGAGAATTTCCCGGAATTCAAATCCAATTCCATCAAATCCTACCAAATCCACAAACCAAACAACCAAAAAGAACATATATTTTATACATTTCTAAAAAGGTTTTCTAAAGTATTTGTCTTTTTCCATTTTGGTCACGAGAAAATTTGTAGAAGTTTATGACCGAAGTTGAAAAGTTAGTTCTCCCATTAATTTCAATGGAGCATAGAAGGATCATACACCTGATGAAGTGAACAACGTTTCTTCAACCAAAACCAAAACCCCTCAATTTATTTCTTGAAACAATTTCTACTATGGCGCATCGAGAATCGATGATGATTAAACTCCTTCTAGGGTTTATGCTACTGAGCTGCATGCATCATGAATCAGCAATTGGTAGGTTTGTAGTCGAAAAAAACAGCTTAACAGTTACTTCTCCTGAATCCATCAAAGGAAATCACGACAGTGCCATTGGCAACTTCGGAATTCCTCAGTACGGCGGTAGTATGGCCGGAACAGTCGATTACCCGAAAGAAAACAAAAAAGGTTGTCGAAAGTTCGACGAATTCGGGATTTCTTTCAAAGCAAATCCCGGCGCATTGCCCAAATTTGTTCTTCTCGATCGTGGAGGTATGTTGCTAATTTAATTTTGAAGATCTTAGTTTATGATTTGTTTTTGGTGATACGACAAATACGAATTTGGGATTCAGCTAATTTTATAATCAAGTGTCACAATCTAAATCATTTCATTGTTTATTTGATTGATTTTTGTAATCTCCTTCAAAATTTTGTTTGTTATGCAGATTGTTTTTTTGCTTTGAAAGTATGGAACGCCCAAAACGCTGGTGCATCAGCTGTTCTTGTTGCAGACGACATTGACGAACCACTAATCACCATGGATAGACCTGAAGAAGATGGTTCCTCTTCAAAATACATAGAAAACATAACAATCCCATCCGCATTAATCTCCAATAACTTCGGTGAAACCCTGAAAAAAGCAATCAGTAACGGCGACATGGTAAACCTAAATCTTGATTGGAGAGAATCCGTTCCACATCCAGATGATCGAGTCGAATATGAACTATGGACAAACAGCAACGATGAATGTGGAGTTAAATGCGACATGTTAATGGAGTTTGTGAAGAGTTTCAAAGGGGCAGCACAAATTCTTGAGAAGGGTGGATATTCCCTTTTTACCCCTCATTATATCACATGGTATTGTCCTCAAGCGTTTACCATTAGTAAACAGTGTAAATCACAGTGTATCAATCATGGAAGGTATTGTGCACCTGATCCTGAACAGGATTTTAGCACAGGGTATGAAGGAAAAGATGTGGTTATTGAAAATTTGAGACAATTGTGTGTGTTTAAAGTGGCAAATGAGAGTAGAAAAGCGTGGATTTGGTGGGATTATGTTACAGATTTTCAAATAAGGTGTCCCATGAAAGAGAAGAAGTATAATAAAGAGTGTGCTGATGAGGTCATCAAATCCCTAGGTAAAGTATTTTAGGGTTTAGGGTTTATGGTTTATTTATAGTAATATGTTTTTTTTTTTTTTATGAATGTGTAGGGCTTGATTTGGGAAAGATTGAGAAGTGTATGGGAGACCCTAATGCCGATTCTGACAATATTGTCCTTAAAGAAGAACAAGATGCTCAAGTATTTTTTTTTTTTTAATATATATTTTTAGATATTTATATATAATTAATGGAGAACTATGGAATTTTCAGATTGGGAAGGGGTCAAGAGGTGATGTAACCATATTGCCCACACTTGTGGTTAATAATAGACAATACCGAGGTTAGTTTTTACATTTATTGATGGAATGGAGTGGAATGGAATAGAATGAAGGAATGGAATCAACCATTCCATTCCATTCCTTACATTACTCAATCTTTGTTCACAGGAAAGTTAGAAAAAGGTGCTGTTTTGAAGGCCATTTGCTCTGGTTTTGAAGAAACAACCGAGCCTGCTGTTTGTCTTAGTGATGGTAAAACCCTAAATCTATAATCTTCATTTTTTTATTTTATTTTTTTTAAACAAATATTCAAGAATTCTTATTTACTAAAAAAAATATAAAAAGGTGTGGAAACAAACGAGTGCTTGGAGAATAATGGTGGTTGCTGGCATGATAAATCCGCCAATGTCACTGCATGCAAGGTACCTTTTTCTATTTTTATATCTCATAACTCACAAATTTATAAAAAAAAAAAAATCTTTTATTTTTTTTATAAATTTTATACAGGATACATTTCGTGGGAGAGTTTGTGAGTGTCCTTTGGTTGATGGAGTACAATTCAAAGGAGATGGGTATACCTCATGTGTAGGTATTATACTAATACTTTCATTTTTTGAGTCAAGAATATAAAATTTTTTCTTCAAGGGTATTTTGGTAATTAAGTATATGTTTTTTTATAGCAAGTGGGCCAGGGCATTGTAAGATCAATAATGGAGGATGTTGGCATGAAAGCCGAAATGGTGATTCATTCTCAGCTTGTCTGGTTTGTGCTCTCTTTTGCTCTATACTTTTTGGTATGAATATGAATATGAATATGATGGAATGGAATGGAATGGAATCACAAAAGTATGGAATGGAATCATGGATTCTTGTAACAGGATAATGAAAACGGGAAATGTGCATGTCCTTCAGGGTTTAAAGGCGATGGTGTGAAAAGTTGTGAAGGTAAATAAATTTTATGTTTTTGAAATAATGAAAAGGTGGAAGAGTTTTAGAAGGGTAATTTGGTAAATAAGATGAATTGTTGAACACAGATGTTGATGAATGTAAAGAGAAGAAAGCATGTCAATGTCCAGAATGCAGTTGCAAGAATACTTGGGGAAGCTATGAGTGTAGTTGTAGTGGTGATTTTCTTTATTATAAAGACCATGATACCTGCATAAGTATGTTTTTAATTTTTTTTTAATTTTTTTATTTCAGTATTTATTATTATTATTATTATTATAAAATGTAAATGATGATTTGTTGCAGGTAAGACAGCTGGCAAAGGTAAATCTTCATGGGCTGCCATGTGGATTATTTTCTTGAGCTTAGCAATGGCTGCAGGTGGAGCATATCTCGTATACAAGTATAGATGGAGGGTAAGTTGGTCTTTTCACCTTTTTCTTTTTCAAAATGGTAATAAAAAAAAGTATCTTGGTTTAATCACCAAATGACAATTTTACCCTTGCATTAAGTTAGGTTTTTTGGCTTAGTTCATTAAGACATTAAGTCATTTGTCAATATTAAGTAAGAAAGAAATAAACCCTAAATCGATTAAATGATAAATTATGTTATGTATTTGCCCTTTTTCTTGAAATTAAATGACATTTATATCTCATTTTTTCAGTCATACATGGATTCAGAGATTAGAGCTATCATGGCACAATACATGCCTCTTGACAACCAAAGTGGAGTGGTGAATCATGTAAACGAGAATCATGCGTGAAAAGACATAATTATCCCTTGAAGACTTTACACACATCTATATATAGACTAGTGTAGAACTGTAGAAAACTTGGTCTGTGTCCAATTCGAATTAGATTTAGACATTTAGGGCTATTTTCAATGATAAGGATGACAAGGGCATTCATGTCTTTTGCACATATGACTAAGATCAAATGTGAGCCCTAGTTTTTTGTTCCTCGTTTATCAAAAAACGTTAAAATACCAAGTAACACAACATGAGAATTGAGAAGAACAAATTGACAATTTTCATTTATCAAGAAATGCTCAACACTCTGTTTGCAACAAATTAGCAAACATTTTTTCATACAAAAACTACGAGGAACTCAAGAAAAAGCTCATGTCCATAAACATTTAAGACACCATGTTCATGAAAAAAAAAAACCCATGAAGGTTGAACATAGAAGCACATCTTTTTATGGACTCAAAAACTTGAATAAAAAAAAACAATATAGAATCATGGAATCATGTATTATCTTGATGAAGGAAGAGTTATATCAAGTCCAATGTCCATACCATTGTACGCAAGAGGAGCATACATCCATAGATCATCAGAGCTCAAAAGCTGCAAACAAACATATCATTAGCTTCCATCTTCAATCTTCAATCTCAATTCATTATTTGAAATTCCTTTTAATCTTGTTGTTTGTGTTTGTTTAATGTCTACTAACCTTGATTTGGAGTTGTAAAAATTTAACATATTGAACAGCTTCTTCAAGCATCGTGCTTATGTCAACCTTCATTACCAAAAAAAAATATATTAAACCCTTTTTTTTCACGAAATTGTAGTAAAAAAAATATAACTTAAAAAACAACTGCGTACCTTTGTACCATTAGGGACAAGACTTTGTAATATTCTCAACCTTTCATTGATCCTCTCTCTTCTTTTCTGTAAAAAGACAAAAATAAGTTACTTTATCAGCTTTCTTCTGAATAACATAAGAGCCCAAAATACAGTGTCCAAATATCTGTATTGGAACTGAAACTCCTACACTGTAACCAGCATACCTTCGCGTAGACACTTTGACTATCAGTTGCTGAGCCGTTACTTGCTCTTTTCTTGCCACTTGAATTTGCCATTGGAACCCCTTGTGGTCTTGGACTTAAATCTTGCAATCTATTTGAGTCATCATCTGAGTCATTCATGTTTGTAAACTTTGTCTTCTTCCAACCCATTTGAACCTACAAATCATTAAAAAAAAAAAACAATTACATTTTTAGATTTAGTAAATTGTATAAACAAAATTTGATCTATGTTAAACATACATCATCGAAGCTATAAGAGCGTTTCCTAGAGCTTGGTGTCATGTTATCAAACTCTGTTGCTTCCTCTCCTTCCATTTTTGAGAAAAAAGGAATGATGGAAATACCCCTTTTGTTGTTGCCCCCTGAAGAGGAGATTGAGAGGTAGCTTTCCCCACTTGAAGTGGGAAAAAGAAGACTATTGGTGTTTGCATTGTCTGAAATGGATATTGAAGCTTCGTAATCATCTTTCATGGTGGATTCATGGTGTGATTGTGACCAAAATGCAGAAGTAGAGGAAGAAGAATCTTCAAAGGTGGAAGTTTTAGGTGATTTAGTTGAAAAGTTACCTAGTAATTGTGCCATGAAATCAGCTTCTTCACTAACATATGTTCCACTAAAGTAGTTCCTTTCTCCTTCCAAAAGAGTAGACACAGATTCCATTTTTTTTTTTTTTTGTATAGTTGAAAATAGAAATAGAAATGAAAGAATAAATGTTTGGAGTTATCTGTCATGTCACAAGTGTCAAGAGAAGCTATTTATGGATGGATTATGTGTCAGTTGATTGGTTTAGTTTGTTTAATCACCATATTATGTTCATAATATAATAGAAGAATTTGATTATGTCATAAACAATCATTAGAATGTGTTTGTTTAGGTGCTAATACAGCTAACGTGACCTTTCATAGGGTTTGAATCAGATTAATCAACATGCTGACAGGGATACGTGTCAGAAGGGGCATCATTGAGAATTGAGAAGGGGATAATCGTCAATTGTTTATCTAAAAAACTTCATTCTTCATTTCAAGACACAGAAGAGATATCAAGATAAATGTGTAGCTACTAGATTACACTTATTGTCATCTTAAATTACTGAAGCAATGATCAAAATCTTCCTACATTTGGCTAATTGTTAGATAAAAACCGATAAAACTCAGATTACTTACCAAATGAATTTCTCATTGCAACATTTGATCGATTTTGTTCTTAATTTTCCAAATGATTTATATTCCAATACTCTGTATATGATTGATATGTAGTTACAAATATCAAATATGTGTTAACGATTTTGAAACTGAAAGAGGTTAACTACAGATTTCAATGATAACAACACAATCAACTTGCATATTGATGACGTACGACAGAGTCTTATACTGAAACTATAAATTAAATTTGACGAAGGCAAAGAGAGATTTTCAATGAGCTGTAGAGATCTCTCAGGTTTTTTGTATAAAAAAAGATCTGAAAAAAGAAGAAACTCGTAATTGTTGGTGACGAAAGAAGAAAAACACACCAGTCACTGAAGAAGGAGGTGCGAAACCGCGTTCCGAGATATTCCCGGCGATGTTGTCGCATGTTGAATAAGGAACATAAATATATTTCTTCACCTTCTTCTTCTTCTTCTACGTGTTCGTGTAGTGATTTAGGTGAAGTCATGGAGCAAAACCCTGGATAGATCTGGCATTGATAGTGATGGAACTTAATTGTTTAGGAAACATATGCCGGCCATTTGCACGATCTCCGATTTTAAACTAATATTGCGAAGACGAAAGAGGCATAAATTATATACGATAGATTGATTCTGAATATGAAGAACTCCATTAAAGGGTTGTGATTGCACGTTTTCGTGGGTTTTAGAGGAGAAAGCTTCCATGGGAGTTGTTAGGAACTCTGCCATTCTTTTTCTTTTGAATATTGGGGTGTTCGGGATTACGTATGAATTCAACGCGAATTTTATATTATAACGTATTAATTTAATATTATAATTTGTGAATTTAGTTTTAATATGTGAATTAATAGAGTTATTATATTGGCATTATTCATACTCTCATACTGGCAGTTATTCTTTAATTTTATATATTTCAATCATTAAAACCGTTTACATATTGATTAATAATTTTTATTTAAGATGTTTTTTATTAGTGAACTTCTATTTTTGTTCTTGATAATCCAATCAATTATTGGTGTAGAAATATGCCCTCAATCAACGGTGGCCATTTCAGGTTTATTGGTGATTTGTTAATACGGTCACATGTAGTTTGCATATTAACAGAAATCTATGAATAATGTTTTGGTTTTGGTTTTGTCCAACTATGGATCTGAATTGGATAGGTTGACCTAAAATGTCTCATGATCGATAGATGTTGGCTATTTGAGCTTAATTGAAGCAAGTGAAAGAAATTGGGGTTGATGTTCTTGATATTTACTTAGATTTTTTAATGTTTAGATATTTCTCTAAAATTGACCTAAATTGTGTGTACAAATCAGTTTCATTAAAGGATGTGAAAATCAAGCTATTTCTAGCCCCAAACATCTGGCTATAAATGTTACTATCTCCTCTTCTTCAAAATATGTATTACTTATTCTCAAAATCATCTTTCATATTTACATCACTGTCACATTATTTTAGTTGTGTCTTTCAAAGTGGGTTATACTTATGTTTCACTTTTGTTTTATTTTTATTTTTTAATACAAAGAATAAAATAAAAAGAAGAGAAAAGAGAGCAAAGGAGAGTCCTACAATGGGATCATTTTATCATCGGACCCGTATTGGGGAATTTTAAGCCAGCAGCTCATTATTATTTTAAAAAAAAGAAAATAAAAATTAAATGATTAATCGTGAACTATGCTACCATCACAACTCAGCTTACACACATGCTCGTTTAATTTATTTTCCTTTTCTTTTATATGTCATATTCTATGTTTTCATTGAATTTGTAATCTTGACATCAAATATCATCTAAATAAAATTAATAAAAAAATAATAAATTTTGTAAAAAATGTTCTCGTATAATATCGATATAATTCATATTCATGTTAATTTTTTTATATAATAAATAGTTGGTTTCGGTTGGGTTGTTAATGGGATGAAAATTATATTGGATTTAGTTGTATACCTGTATAGGTGCAAGAAAGAGAAAATATTTTTTTAATAGAAAATTTGGATTGGCATGGGTTGGTCATCGAGATAGTCTAAGGGATTCAAGTATATATGTCTTTGGTCTCTTAAAAGACTCATTGGTCCATCTCCACAAATTTAGTGGCTAAATAGAGTTGTTGTCATAGTTAAAGCATACCAAGTAAGCAAGGCTCAAACATCATACACTAAGTAACATGTGCACAATCACACATGTGCCACACGAAGGCTTTGCAAGATCCAACATGTTATGAAGGCCTTCTAGAATGGCACACAACTTTTTCTTGTTATGTGGATATCCAAGTCTATTTTTAAGTGTCCAGACCACAACAATCTCTTGATTCATACCCAACTATATCAATGAATGCAACATAAAGCGTCTTAGATAATGTTAATTCAATTTAAACATGTCTCCGTTTTCAAAATTTATTCAATTCTTTAAAATGTTTACTTTTAAAATGTACAAATAGTTTATAAAGTAACAAGTAATACATATATCATATTACAAAACAAACACAAAATGGAAATTAACAAGTAATTGTATTGGCTTTTTTAAATTTGTTATTCTTCATTTTCAGAAGTTACATATCTTTCTAGCTTTCTATATTTTTATATATGTTTTATAAGCACAAAATGGAAACGTAAGCTAAACAAACAGAAAAAGTGGTTGTAAGTTGTAACAATTAAATGGAATAAAAATAAAAGAAAGAGACAAAACAGTATTATACTTCTAATATATGTGTTCACAAAACAAACAATGTGATATCAATCCATCCTTTCATTTTTCATAACCATCCAAATTATAATATCATCCATCATGAGATGAAACACAGACAACCAAAACCCTCTAAAATCATCCTCACTGTTCCTCCTCCTGGCCCACCACCTCTTCCCCAAACCCTCGTTGTGCAATTCTGTAATACAGAATTCCCATTGTCGCTAAACACGCCCTGCATCCAAATTATATTATTATGATTATAATTTATAAAAAATATATATAAATTTAAATGAAGAGATCTAATTATCATCTTACATGATTGCTATAACCAGAAGTATTTTTCTTGGATCCATCCTTGAAGGCCTATGGTGGGCTCTATGAGTCTGAGTCTCTTCTGTATTTCCATCTTTTCTAGGAGGTGCAGTCACTGGTAAAGTTGGCAATGCACTTGACCAAAATGGTATCAATGACCGAAGAAACTTATGCCGAAATGTCCCTACAAATTACAAAATTTTATTTTTTGATATAGTGAAAAAGACTAAAATGCCCTTGGTATTTAAAAGATCCAAATTTCTCACCTCTCCTAGTGTACTTCTTCCGATTAGCATCTTCATCATCTGCATAATAAGAAACCTCAGAGTTTTGCCTTTCTACTTGTTGTGCACTTTTTCTTGTTGTAGCACCAGGCTGCATTAGAATTGGAATTGGAATTGGATACTTAAAGATGGAAATGGAAAGCTTAAGATAAAGTACTTACAACAACAGAAGTTGGGCTTCTTGAGTGATTTGCTGAATTGGGAACATCAATCTCCACAATGTCTATGGTTGAAGGTTTAGAAGAAGAAGAAGAAGAACCATTCACAGAGGAGGGATCTTTTGTCAAAGGCTCTGAGGATATAGCAGGAATTGGGAATGAAACTGGATTGTTTCCAAACACATTCTTCTCCATTCCAGTCTGCATAACATAACAAGATCAATACTTATGTGAAGAAGAAAATCTTGAAAAAAGAAAAAACCAAACATATACTTCTTTTGAAATTGGATTACCTGAATAATCGCTTCCTTCAATTGTGAATGTAAACGTGACCCTGAATCTTTGATGCTTTTAGGAGGCCATATCTGTGAAGAAAGTGTAATATTTGGTGATTAGTAAAATATAGACAGGTAATAGTAATGGTAATGCAGTATACAAGTATAGCTTACTGAAGTTGAACATTGAGGACAAACATATCCAGCTGGAGCAGTGTGTGGAGGGTAGCTTTTAATATTTGAAACTAAGCAACTAGTGTGTATGATATCTGAGAAAAAGAAAGAAATTACATAAGATGGAGTAATTTCAACATTTTATGAAACTAAAAAAACAAAATGATGCAGTTTTCTTGAGTGTAGAATAGCATACGCAGGCATCCCAGACGTGTAGTTTGAGAGCCACCACCTTCTTCAAGCACAGCTTGACAATGGCAGCACTTTGTGGGCCAGTCATACTCTCCATCAATTACCCATTCTGAGTATGTACGAACCTAAGAAATCAACTAAATGGTCTCAGATGATATCTATGAAAAGGTGATCATCTTGATAGATAGAAACAACTGCTATGTAGGAGATATTACAACGTACCACACAAATTTGGTGCTCTGGAAAACAGATGCATTCTCCACAAACTGGAACCTTGTGCACGAAGCAGTACAATTTAGTTGCCTGTGAGCAACAAATCCGGTTTGGTTAGTACTCGAGTTAACAATAAACATGATAAATTACACTCAGCATACTCCCGTCGTCAACTGAGGTCAAATTTCATGGTGAATCGAACAAAGTTACTTGATCGAGTATTTAGATCTAAAAGGATTACAAACTCTTCTAGAAGAAATAAATCTATGCGAATTGGGATCTAAGATCCCAGATTCGCAGCAATGGCGACACAAATTTGTTAGCTCGATCTGATCTGAGAGCTCTAATCATTAGTGAACATGTTCGACGAATTCAATTGCCCAAATTAAAACCTAGCATTAGGTATATAAACCTATAAATTACGTTGAGATAAAAGAGGAAGAAATTAGCACATACCTTTCGGCACTTGCAGACCACCATCGCATTAACTATAAGTTGTTTTACAGCTGAAAACCTAAAATTGAAACATCAATTTTAGTATTGAGTATGATTTCGATTTGAATAGACGCAAACTTTCTTAATACGGTATGGTTTTCGGTGGAATATTTTAGGGTTTTAAGTAGATAAAAATTGAAGATCCGTGCAAGAGATCTTTAAAAAAGGATGATGAGGAGATCAATTAGAGATGTTGAATAGTATATCTGGTGCTTTGATTTCAATGTTCAAGGATTTGGATTTCTGAGATGATCTTTCATGATCAGAAGTAATTCGGTTCTCAGGGTAGCGTTAATATCAGAGATGGGTTTCGGTTTGCTACACGGAGGAAATAATAGTGTGCGACTTGGCGCACCACGCACCTGGATCTTGGAACACTTTTTAGTTGGGTCATTGGCTCGGAATTTTATATGTTTTAAAATAATTATTAATTATGTAAGTTTCTTTTAATTTTTTTGTATGACTCGATAGGGCTTTAGATAGTAATAGATTGTATCATATGCTATTCTAACATTCAAAGTTACAAGTCAAAAAAAAAAAATCATTTCTAAATCCACATAAAAGCAGTTTTCATTAAAACCAACTCAGAATAATCATAATGTCAAATATAATTTCACATAAAAATATCAAAGTGTCCCAAAATATTCAGTAACAAAATCTCCAAGCGAATGTGACAATCAAGTCTTCGTTTTTTCGCGATCCTCAGAAGTACCTGAAATACATTAATCAACAACTGTAAGCACAAAGTTTACTGAGTTCTTCAAGATATCACATACAACACACCACATATGACAACTATGAGTTATCAGCAACCCTGCAGACTACTCGAAGTTTCAACACATATAAACAACACATACACAATAATAGCACTTAAACCCAGCTCATCACACACACACACTCTCATATATATATATATATATATATATATATATATATATATATATATATATATATATATATCAAGGTTGTAAAAATTGATCGGCGGTAGCTCGGCGGTCGACTGGGGTCAAGCGATTAATCGGTTTGGCGGGGATTAATCGGAGGATTAATCGGGGACCATAAATTACTAATAAAACTATTTTAAAACTTAATATATCCTAAGAAAAAATAATATTTGAAAATTTAAAAATTTTAAAATTTGAATTTTTGAAATATTTGGTATAATATTTGAAAATTTGAATATTTAAAAATTTAAAATTTTGAAGTTTTGAAAATTTTGGTATAATATTTGAAAATTTGAAAATTTGAATTTTTAAAAATCTTCCCGCCAAGGACCGCCGAGGACCGCCTAGCCCGAGTTTGACCGATATTGACCAATTTCTGCCTAGACCCCTAATCGTAATCAGTTGCAGACCGCCTAGCGCCTAGGCGCCGCCTAGACCGATTTTTACAACACTTATATATATATATATATATATATATATATATATATATATATATATATATATATATATATATATATATATATATATATATATATATATAAACATCCACAGGTAAGAATAAGTGAGAAAACTCACTTGAACTAATGACTGATAGAATTCATACCCAAACTGCCGAAACAAGACTACGCCTAATTAAATACACCAATTAACCTTAATTAATAATTAAAGTATTTTCACACACACTACTAAGTCCAAGTCAAGTCTAGTCTACACTTAGAGTAAAAGACCATTTTATCATTCACAAATCCCTCACCATCCACCTAATACTCAATTGTCCAAATTCCACAAAAGTCAAAAAAAGTCAACTTGGGCAGTATGCTCGGCGTACTTATAACACCCATAAAATTGAAGCCAATTTAAAACTTTTTATTACATTTAAAAACCGTTAAGTTATTATAGTTTGGTTTCAAAATAGTTTAAACATCATAATATCCCCAAAATCAAATCATAAAACCCATGAAAATGAGGAGTTGTACGATCACGTCTTTGCCTTCCTGGGGTCATCTGCTGCACCTGAAACAATAATCAATAAATGTAAGCTCGAAGGCTTAGTGAGTTACCCCCAAAATACTGATACACATACAATCCAATAACACATGAACAAATAACATATCATAACAACTGAACAGAACAGCATGCACTAGTCGACAACTTTACAAGCTGGACTACCCCCATGGGCCCTCAGTACGAGTCTGGAACGCCTACCAGGCCCTCAGTTCGTATCTGGAATGCCATCGAGCCCTCAGTACGAGTCTGGAATGCCTACCGATCAGCTCATATCTGGAATGCTCCCGAGTCCTCAGTATGAGTCTAGAATGCCTACCGGGCCCTCATCTCATATCTGGAATACTCTAGGGTTTGTTGGCTACCGCATGGAGCAGTACAACCTCAACCCATCCCACATAACATGTCGACATGTAACAGATAATTACACATACAGGTAATCAATCAGTATCACAAGCAGTCCTACAGATCTACCCGACTAGCATATTGTTTGGGTGTCAAACCAACAAATGATGGGATAAAATAATATTAATATAACTCAAATCACTGCTATTTCTAATACTAAAGATAGTATAGAGTAAGCAGGGTCGGTCCACAGAGATACGGGACTTTTCATCTTACCATATTTTCACACATAATACAAGTAATATTAAAATGGGGGTTTGTATTTAAACTTGAATTAAACTTCATAAATAAGAAAGATTGAAAACAAACGCAGTAAAAGAAGTACATTTCCGATTCTGACTCTTATATATGTTAATATGTATTATGTTGAAAGATGTAATATGATTATAACTCATGTTCAATCTAGGTTGGTAAGTTGGATATTAATAAACTCTAATATCCAAATTGGCAAAAGTATTCTATTCAAAATAAGCTCTTTAAATAAAATTTCATTTATTTGATTCAACCCAAATAAGCTCTTGCATTAAATCATTAAATGACATTAAGTTCTTGCACTAATTACCAACAATGTTTAACATTCCTCTTAAGCTTGGGAATATAAACATTTAATCTTTGACTGCACTAATTTTGATCTAATTACAACCAAGTAAGTGAGTGTTACTAACATCAAATCATAAAACATATACGAATTTCATGATTTGATTAACTAGATTGAATAGAACCCTAGTTCATTGATCAAGTGAAAAAGAGAACTAACCAAACACATGATTAAGATCAAATCAAAGATTACTAGATGTTAAACATAAGTTGAATTCAAGTTACAGCCTAACAACACATACTTAAGAATTCAGATTCGGAAATGATAATAAAATCAACCACACATATCTAGGTTGGACTACAAATCAAACAGGTTTAAACTTCAAATTGACTTACAAAAAGAAATTAAAGTGTTTTCCAAGTGTTAATCTACTTGCAAAAGCTCTGAAAATCGTCTCTTCTCCTCCCAAAATCCAACCTAACCCCCATCCAAACTGATTGTCTCAATTATAAGAAGACAAAAACCACTTTAAAACTGTCGAGACGTTTACACGGCCCGTGTAAATCAAAGGTGAGGGTTTACACGGCCGTGTAAACAAGAAAAGTAGAATGCTTAATTCTTCCAGGTCTTCGAAGTAGAATGTCCTTGCATATACGTTTACACGGCCCGTGTAAATCAAAGCTGTAAATTTACACGGCCGTGTAAACGTCTGTAAAGCCAAAATCCTCATTTCTTTGATATCTTGCTCCTCGGTGCTCCGCAAGTCCTGAAATTTTGTCCGCAACTTTTATTTACCTCCTCCAACAATATCCTACCTCCAAAAGTCCCTGAAATATCACAAAAATATTTGAATGAAATTGCATCATGAAAAATCCCGAAAAACATGCAAAATGCATGAGTTTAAGCCTATATGCAATGTACTTTTATGAAATAAAGCTACAAAATGGGTACATCAAATGCACCTAACAAATCTCCCCAAGCTTAAACCTTTCTTGTCCTCAAGAAAGAACAAGAAGATTTAAACTGGAGAAAATAAAATAGAATAGAAGAAAATAAAATTAAAGTTAAAACTATTTGAAACTTAATGCATGAAATCAAAACAAACATGAAAAGATCCAACCCAATTACCATGTTTTGTATTATAGTAGAGAATGTACCTATCATGCCTTGAGTCAACTTGGCTTTAGTCTCAAAATATTATATGATAATAGAAATAAGACTTTGGCTGTAACGACCCGTTCCCGGTATGTTGATTTATTGGTAATTATAGTGAGTTTTCCTAGAGGGACTCGGCGAGTTCTAGCCTGACTCGCCGAGTCGGGTCGCGTCTGAGGGCACGCGTGAGCCGGCGACTCGACAAGTCCATAATATGGACTCGGCGAGTCCATCCGTCTGGGTGAAACCCTAAATCCCCGGGTTGCCCACTATTTATACCACCTTATAGCCCCCATTCTCGCCTCCCTCACCCTGAGAACACAGTGTTAGAGCCCCAAACCTCCATTGAAGAGCTTATTTGTGTTTGGTGCCCTCTTTGTGAAGGTGTGAAGAAGGAGAAGAAGGAAGAAGCAAGGAGAAGGGTTGGAGTGCAAAGATCCAAGGCCAAATCAGAGTTTATTGAGGTATTTTCGGAGTTCCATCTTATTTTATGCTTTAAACTTCCATTAGGGCTCTCCTAAGAGCTAGTTGGTGCTTGTTTCAAGCCTTACACTTGCATGAACGTCTTATTAAGTCGATATATCTATGGATCTGAATGTTGGGGTGTTGTAGAGCCCAGATCTACTGTTTTTTGGGTTATATTGCATGTTAGCCATAGATCTACCCATTTTATGCATCTTTTAGCCTTGTTTCCCTTATTCATGAGGTTGTGCACGTAAAGTTGGAAACTTTACGTGGTAAAACAGCTTATTGGACTCAGATCTATCAATTGTATGCATTGGATTCAAACAAAATCAAGTAAAAATCTGTTGCATGGCGGCGACTCGCGAGTCGGAAGAACGACTCGACGAGTTGGGTCGCGAGTCCCGAGTTCTTCAGTTTTATCAGTGTCGAGTGACGAGGTGAGTTAGGGAGTGGACTCAGCGAGTTGAGAGTAGACTCAGTGATGGAGGGACTCGGCGAGTTGTTCATACAACTCGGCGAGTCCAAGGCAATCTTCTTGGGGATCAAGAACAACTCGTCGAGTCTGTTCATACGACTCGGCGAGTCGGATGAAGATTGTCTGAGTTCTTGGATCCAGAGGGTACTCGTCGAGTCGATGCCCCACTCGACGAGTAGCAGCGTGAAGAGCTGAGAGATGAGACTAGGACTCGGCGAGTTGGGTAGCCCGACTCGGCGAGTCAGCCCAGAGTGATTGACTTTGACCAAGGGTAAAAGAGTCATTTTACCCCAAGTGCAGTGTTTAGTATTTGATTGAGTGTGTTTATGGACTTGTAGCCGAGGAGATTCAGGAGCAGCCGCCGTTAGCTTTCCGAGCCACACACTCAGCAGCCAGCTTACGAGGTG